CCCTTTCCATTGTGACACACAGAAGAACGGATTGGGGTTCAAATGTATAGTTGAGTTGCCAACCTGACCTTTTTGATTCTTTGACACTGAACTTACACTATTTTTGTAACACTTATTTTAATAAATTCATTCACAACATTTATCCCAATCATTGAGTAATGTTATTATTGCCTATGCAAAACATATTATAATCATTTTAATATAAACTCATTCAACATGCACCCTCTGTCAAATTAAAATTCAACAGCACAGTTTTTTGAAGAAACTCTTAAGTGGATACGTCGTTTGGAACAAAAAGCTGCCTTATGGCTAAAAGACTGTATGTGGCCCCCATTATAGATAAAGTTAATCTGACCTTATTAGCATGTACAGAGGTATCAAATGGGGGTAGTCACAAACTTCAGATTTTATCTACTAGATATTAGATGTATTTATACAACATCTAAAGACACAATGTGTCCTTTTCAAACCTCAATGGCTATGTTCCATAAAATGAAAAGTCGAAAACAAACTACATATTAGCTTAGCCTTAGGACAACATATTAATTCAGTCAATAGTTTCTTCAGTGTGAAGTGTGAATCAAAAAAAGTTGGCCATCGAAGAGTTAGTCCCTATATTCCTGTGACATTTTTTCTGATTTTCAATAGTTGCTACGAAATGCCATTGTTTTCTTGAGAACTATACTTGTGGGTCTTGTGGGTGCATTGGACTTCCTCTTCTCCTTTCTGTGGTTATACAAGGTTAACGCCTTCCAATCTGAGCTACTGTGGACTATACTCTTTTTATTGGTTTTCTCTGATGAATGGAGGAAAATTTTTCAAGAAAGGGCTTGGTTTTCTCTCCCCTCCTCAAACTGGCTGCCCCAATAAGTTTTAAATGAGGAAGGCATTTCCCTCTCTATTACTGTCTCAAATAGAGTTCATGAAAATCTCATATTTCGTGCAAGTATTCAGTTGAGTTCATGAAGACCCCATCAAAGCAAATATTGAGGAAAAATGAATACATACTGTATATATGCAGATCAGAGATGGGTTTCAGCAGGTTCTGACCAGTTCTGGAGAACTGGTAGCGGAAATTTTGAGTAGTTTGGAGAACCGGTAGTAAAAATTCTGACTGGCCCTGCCCCCATCTATTCTCTGCCTCCCAAATCCCAGCTGATCGGGAGGAAATGGGGATTTTGCAGTAACCTTCCCCTGGATTGGGGTGGCAATGGATTTTACATTATCCTTCCCCTGAAGTGGGGTGGGAATGAAGTTTTTACAGATTCTTCCCCTGCCATGCCCACCAAGCCACGCCCACCAAGCCATGCCATGCCATGCCACGCCCACCAAGCCACACCCACAGAACCGGTAGTAAAAAAATTTGAAACCCACCACTGATGCAGATAAATGAAAATGGAGAGGCAACTCAGAACTTAGCTATAATTGCCTATTCACAAAACATCCATGGTAAATTATTCACTTATTTTATTAGGCTGCTACTTTTCACCTTTTCTACGGTAGGTGATTTTTTTTTCTAAAAATGCCAGTAAAGCCTATATAAATATGCAGTCCTGTATGATGTGACTCAATACAATTGAGTCCAGTGGTGTTCAATGTGAAATGCCCCATTTGGAACTAAGATTGAGGAAACCCAGGTTCAAAATCACTCTCAGCCATAGAAATTCACAAGGGGTGACTTTGCGGTAGCTGCTATCTCTCAGCCCAGCTTACTTTCCAGGCTGTGAGAAAAGAAAATTAAGGACAGAATAATATGCATGCCACTTTCAATTCTTAAGAGGAAAGATGAAATACAAATTTGTCAAATAAATAAAAATTAATTACATTTACTTTTTGATAATGCTGCAATCTGCACAGTATTGGATAAGACAGTAGAATGTTTAATTAATTTGTAGAATTAATGAAGTTGGAGAAATATAGTAAACTGAAATTGCAAATATAAAAAAAATATTCCTAATTGAATTTGGATATTTAAAATCAATGCTACAAACACCAATAGTTCAAAACAGAGCCATGTGTATTTAATTGCAAAGATTGACAAAGGCCAACATGAAGATTTGAGCTCACCAAGAAGCAATTATCACAAAACTAGGCTTTCTCGCAAAAATATGGTATATTTACAGTATAGAAAACAGGAGAAGATCTCTGGAAAATGTTGATTCTCCTGGTACATATGCCATTATAGTCCTTAGGGTCCTTTGTTTTAATAACAACAGTTAAATAAATAAAGTCTGAGGAAATGAAAACAAAAAAGAGGATCATCTAAGAAAAACCATGTTACCATACGTGTAAATAAAAATAAAATGCTAAGGGTCAGGATTGTACTTATAGTTCCCATGGCAAATCGTCCAACATCAACATTGTGGTTTGGCTGAACTTTATCAGGAATGGCTCGCTACACATATTCCCATGACATGACTCACAAACGTTTCACTTCCTGACCATACTTCCTTTGGCTCTCTAACCTAGGTCAGAGTTTAGCTTAGTTAGTAGTGATGTCATGCTTCTTTGGCTGATGGGACAGACTGTGGTGCCTAACCTCTAAGGCAGCAACAAAGTTTAATGATAAAATATGATTGCTTTGTTATTTTTTTGGCAGCATTTATAAACCACTCGAATTCACAGACGGCAGACACTTTAAAAGTAGTAATCAAGTAAAAACAAAAATAAACAGAAAGAGAACTAGACTGGTAGTTATTGAGGTTTTATCCTTTTGAAAGACTAGTTTTTTAAGTAACTTCCAAAGTGTTGGAAAAATAAGGTTTATATGCATCTCTGAGGAAAACACATTTCACAGTAACAGTCTGATTTTTCAGTCTGATCCATACCACTTTTATTTCATGGTAGAGTGGGTGGAAATTCAATAAGATTTCACTTGACGGCTGGACCAGATATGCAGAGTCAATTTTGGTGAAGTGCTCCTTTATGTAACCTGGCACCACACTCTGTATGGTTTTAACCAGCACTTTAAGTTGGGCTCAGAAGCCTACTGGTATTCAATATAAAATGAGGATGACTTTATTAAAACAGGTTTCTGAGCTAGGAATTTGTTTGTTCATTCTTCACCAGCTACACCTACAGGTTCTTTTCAGACATTCCCACCATCACCAATCTTGTACTGATCACAGCATGGTTTATTTTTGCCAAATCCTGTTCAGGAAGGCTATAATTGGTGCAGCAGTAGAAGCTGGCAAAGGCCTCCCCAACCATGGCCTCCATCGGCTGTCAAACAGGAGTTTCAATTTGAAAAAAAATATTTCAAGTTACTAATCAACTCCTTCATTACTAACTCCTCTCATGGACTATGAATGCTAACATGCTTGTGAAGAAAGCACAGAAGCTGTACTTCCTGAGAATGCTCAGGAAGATAAATCTATCTCAGCATCTACTTCTGTCCTACTATTGCAGCACCATTGAGAGTGTCCTGATGTACGGCATTCTTGCATGGTATGGGAGCAGCTCTGTAGCGGACAAAAAAGCTCTACAGAGAATCATTAAAACTGCCCAGAATATCATCGGACTCCAGCTACCAGCCCTGGGCGACATCTTTGAATCTCGCTGTTTGAGAAAGTCGCATAACATTCTCAGAGACTCTTCCAATCCTGCTTACAATCTTTTTGGACTGTTGCCTTCTGGCAGAAGATACAAAACAATTAAAACTTGGACCACACATTTTCTGAATAGTTTTTATCCCAGAGCTACTGTATAATTGCACTCAACAATGAACTAAAGGGCCACCATCAGTGAGCTGACGGACAGTTTTACTTGGTCTGTTGTGTGGATGTTTGGGTGGTTTAGGGGTGGAGAATTGTGGTGGGTGGGAGTGTGTTTGGAGATCGTTATGTGTGTTGGACCTGGTCTTTGGGTGTTAAGTGAATTTCATTGTATGGGTATACTGTGTACACACGTACAATGACAATAATGTTATTTATTATTTATTTATTATTTATTAGAATGTGAATCCATCTAAAGCAACTACCAAGACCAACGTTTCATGGGTGAATGACATCTTTACCTTGGTTGAGTTGAACTTGTTTCTCCAATGCAGTCCCTTACAATCTCTATTGTAAATTTCTGCATCAAATTTCTACATCATGGGCCCAGACAGGGTTGGGAATAGTATACTGAGAGTTCTGAACAAGAGTATTCTAAAGCAATGTATGACTTCTCGCAGTTTTATATAACATGAGGAAGAGAACCAAATCCTGTGGTACACTGCTCCACACTGAGGCAACCGTGGGCGTGACCACTTTTCCCCAATGACTACCAGATAAGACCATCACTTAGGTAGAAGTGAAATTATTCCATAACAATACTCCCAACTCTCAATTCTTCAGGCATGCAAAAGGTTGATGATATGGTAATACCACATGTACCAATAAAGGAGAATATTTGTAGCTTAGGGTTGAAATGAAGGGTCCTTGGTGCTCTCTGAGCTTGCTTGTTTTCTTGCAGACGTTTCATTACTCAAATTGGGTAACATCATCAGTGCTAGTAAAGAGTGCTGTTTGCTGTCAGTTTATATTCTGGTGACTTGCTTGTCTGTGTCAGTGGGGGTAGTCTTAAGAGATTATTTGGGCTGTTTGCTGATGGCTCTTCGGCAGTTTCTTGACTGGGATATTTGCTAAATATCAAAAGTCCTTACCTCTGGATCTTGAAAAAGTCATCCATCAGTGCAACCGTTACTGTTTTTTCTCCCATGACTGGGGCAAGAATCCTGTTGAGAGGTATCCAGATGTTTGCTTTCTCTAAGCATCTGTAGCTGATGTTTTGTTAGAGAGGAAGGAAGCAGATTGTATTTTAAGAAGAATAAGGTTTAGGAAGGTATTGGGTGTTATATGACATATGAAATGAAAGGAATTGCTAATTAGGGAAGAGATGCTGGTAGGAGGGAGACTGGCAATGGTGGAAAAGTGGTGAAATGGACTGGACATAGGTCCATCAATGGAATTTGGTGGAATCAAACTCCAGACAGCAGTGGTGGCAGAAAATGAGCAGAGTTGGTGATGGCTGTTCTTCCAAAGGCAAAGGAGACAATGGAGCAACATGGCACCTATCATTGTCCATCAGTAGGCTGTATGAGAGCAGATGGCCTGAGTAGAAAAGTCAAGTGATGATTGCAGAATTCTGGCAACATTCTGATGTCCTGTGACAACATAAGTGAGACTTACATCAGACCCCTTTATGGTGGTTATAAATCTCACCACAGTGCAGAAATGCAAGAGCTCAGGAAAAACAAGATTTGAAAAAAGATGAAATATTCCAGCATCATCAAATGCTTGGAATGTCTTCATTCAAAGAAAGAACACCAGTGCAAATATATTTTATCTGATATCAACAATAGAATGCTGTAACCAGCACAAGACTGTTGTTCTACGTATGGATTTTACTGTGTGGTCTTCCAGAATATGTCATGGTAAGTTTCAGCCTTATATGCTTCCTATTCCTGTTTTCTTCTCATTTGCACATCAAGATTGGAAATGTAAAGCTTCCATTTTCAGGTTGGAACAAGCCAGTGCCTCCAAATACTGTACATATTTGGCTGAGTTTATATAAGGCATTAAATTGTAAACTACAAAGGCAGGATTCATAGAAGATGCTGAGCCAAAAACAAATAAATTCTAATATGCCTTAACACAATGTATAAATATTTACTTGATTTCACTACATCAACAGTCAAAGAAACCTTTTCGTTTATAGGAAAGATAATACACTCTGACCATTGGTTATATATCTATATATCAATCTTCATCAACTTATTTTCTTTTTGTGTTCTACATCTTGGTGCTCTCCAGACAGCTATGATACAAGAAAATCTGCATGCTAAAGTCCTGGCTGGAGATATCCAGTTTACATTGTGAGGGGGTGACCTAATATTTCATACCCTGAACTAGATCTGCTAGATACCCTTTAATATGAAAGGACAATTTCAAGATGAGTAGACCATTGTGTCATACAGTAGCTATTAGGTTGATCTTTCAAAAAACAACACCAATAAGAAAGGTAAATTGCTGACGGATATTGTTTGACCTTGTAATGTTCTGACTTGGTTTTGCGTTCATTCTGACATTCTTAAATATGCATTTTGGGAGCTAAGTATAACCCCCCAATTATGAGGATTCTCAATTTATAGTTTTAAAATTCAGCATATTTGCTACACAAAGAATAATGTCATAAATTGCATATTTATGAAGATGCCTAAACGCGTGATATTCTTCTAACATTATTCAAGGAAAGATTTGCTGAAGATAACTGGGTAGGAAAGTAGGAAAGACTGATGAACCCTTCTCATCCTTTCTTCTTTGAAAAGATCTCTCACTGCTGCTATAGTCATTCTGGGCAGGCATGTGCTTGACAAAGATACATTTCTGGTTAAACCTGTAGTTTGGTTAAACATGTCTGTATAATCTATGATCTGTGCTGTAACTGTTGGGAAAGAATTGATTGCACAAGTTGCATCCATTCCTTCCCTGAATTTTTCAGCTTCTGATTATAACATCTGCAATTTCTCATCCCATGACTTGGAAAGAAACAAACATTCTTTTTGGCAACAAGGCTTCTGTGTTTCCATGTAAGGCAAGCCCAGCATGGGTTGCCACTCAAATTAAAGGTAAAACTTCTGTAGTGTACAGGAAGCACAGATTACCAAGAGCCTAGGAAGGAAGTGTAGCCTTCCAGATGTAATTGAATCATAGCAAACTACCCATCGTTTTGAAGACATTGGGAATTGAAAATCAGCAAGACTTTTGAAAGCCATAAAGAAACAGTCCTGGATTACATGATCAACAAAACATTATTGACCAACATTTAGAGCTGAATTATTATAATTTCCTTTCCAGTATCACGTGCACCTAAATACTAGTACGGTAGCACAACAATCATCCATGTACCAAAGGAAGGTTGAGAATTCTGTTCTTTAGAGGTAGTAATTATTCCTTATCAAAATAGCAATAGCACTTAAATTTATATACTGCTTCACAGCACTTTTCAGCCCTCTCTAAGCAGTTTATAGAGTCAGCATATTGCCCCCAACAATCTGGGTCCTCATTTTACTGACCTTGGAAGGATAGAAAGTCAACTTTGAGCTGGTGAGACTTGCTAAGAAAGTATTTATAATCAATGATTAGAACCGGATTGGAGATAATCTGTAAAGGCACGCTATATCTCTTGGCATTCCAAAATTATCTATGCCTAATTAAAATGATGAAGATGAAGAGAGTGGAAGAAAAAAATCACAGACTTCTAAAAATGTTTTATTTTTTGCATGCTAATATCGATTTTATTTACTTGACTAAGTTTAATAATATTCTTACTTCCTTATTAATATTCAAATTATGTAAAATGTTATTCCTTCCCTAATAAAGGTTTTCATACATAAAAATGCTGAGGGCAAAATGTACAATTCAATAATGATCTGACTTTTAAAAAACTGTCTTTTGTGAATTGAAGCAATAAAAATTACCTTGATATTTCTAAGAATGCATCACATAATACTTGAAGAAGCTTAACAGAAAAATTCAATTAAGCTGCAAATAATTTTCTATTGAGAGATAATGCCTTCTTTGTTAGCACTGCATATACTGTACTTCTCTTTTCTTCTCCTTGCCTCTAATATGTGCACACACGCAAAATCCCCTAACATCTGTAGATTTTGGAAAGAACTGCACTTATTGGGAACTTATATAGATAGATAATGATTTCTTGTTTCCCTAGACATTACACATCTGCTGATGTGGTCATGAGAAACAAAATTTAATTTTACATATTGCTTCTGTTCAAACCTTGGAAATATCTATGTCCAAGACGAGATTTAGCATTTTTATGAAATGACTGAAACCACATGGGGAAACAACCAGATAGTAATTGATAGAATAAGTATCCCCACAGTAAATATATAATGAAGAGGGAATGTACTGAATTCTCAACAGATGGGTAATCAGTATAACCAAGTCCCAGAAGCACCCGTTGTGATTTATTGCTAAAGAACACAGAATGCTTGCCTTCTTGAGAGGATATCAGGGAAATGGGATATAAAAAGAAACATTATTTTTGATGAATCATCTAAAAAGGCAGTACCTTGTCTTGCTTCAGAGAGAGAAGTATTAAACAAAGAATGTTTCAAGGAATTATAAACCTGGATGTTAACTGTTAGTGAGTTTTTTCAGTGGGAACTGGCTTTACAGGTCTGTATCACCCTGCGAGGTCTTTACCACAGCATTTCTGAGAGAAATAGAAAGTTTGAGCTTTCCCAAAACTGCATTAAACTGAGTTAAAGCCAGTAATCTCCCCATAATGCTGCATTCCCTCAGAATCAATATGTTTGGGGCCACATGCAAATAGTAATAGGCTTGAAAGAAATACTGGATGGACCAAAACCAGGGGTGAGAAAAAAATCAAGCTATTTTGGTTCATTAACTAGGATTTATGGCTTAATGTGATGTGCAAATAACTATGGTTTCTTTAAACCATGGATAAAAACAACTATGGTCTAACATAATGTTTAAATCCAGGGAGTTGCAGTGCAAAATCAAGTAAATTTTAATTTGTGTTTTCTTCCCAACTCCAGACTAATTTAAAAGAAGATGAATACAGAAGAAGTGGAATTTATCTTTATTTCCAAAATAGACATCTTAAAAATACTGAATATTTTAAACTTTCATATGTCCATTGTGCATATATTGGAAATATGTTCATATTTCATGCCATTAAATTTTCTTAAGAGTTAAATATATCAGTTATATTTAATTATCAATACTCTAGTGTATCTACTGAGCCTTGGGATAACTGGTTCATGCAACTTTTTCAGAAATAAACAATAGGCTGCATAAATTTTCCCATCTCACTTTCAATATATTGCACATTGCACTCCTTATGAAGAAGACATCATTATAACTAGGGTTACCTGGTCTGGAGTGCAACATTCTACCCCATCATTAGATTATAACAGCAAATTGTCTAGATGTTTGTAGCCTTGTTATAACTGAGACATGCATGTTTTTCCTTTTGGGATAAGACGTATTATCCTGAATGCAGGAAGAAATAACCAACAATAAATTGAAGAAATAAAAGCACGAGATGGGAAAAATAAAAGAGAACAGTTTGTTAAGGGCAACATTTATAAAACACTTGACATTCTCTATTCAAGACAGATTTTAACAAAGAGTGTGTGATAGAATCATAATACTTAGTTATACCTCTGTACCGCTTGGTCTTTTTCCAACCAAATTTCCATTCTATCCTCTGATGTAGTTCAGATTATTCTGGATAGAATATGTCTCTCTGACTCAGGCTTTCCTGATCTAATGATCTTCTGTTGAATGACCCATTGGGATCCCATATCAAAACAACTTACTTTATGTGCGGTCAGAACCTGAAAATAACATTTAACACAGCACAGTACTTAAACAAAATGGTTCAGCTGAGATTTGCATACGTGGGACTGATTGGGGTAGATTGTAAGGGTGACATCGAAATATAATTTTATGTAATTTTATTATATTTTTTATATTTATGTATTAAATTATATTGTATCTTATCCTATAACTATTGTATTTTACCCTACTTTTATTTTAAATTGTTTGTATAAGATTTTATTGGTGATTTGTGTTTGCACCTTGTGCTTTGATACAGCCTATAGGCTACTCAATAAAGCTAAGTGAAATACTTGATCATCCTGGAAATTTCGGTTCCACTGGAATAGTGGGAAACACAATAATTGTTGTGGTATAATGCATCATTTGGGCTAACTTCAGGGTGCAAACAGACAAAGAGATATAATGGAATGTGTGAATATCTTGGGGAGAAAGATGCTGCTTAAGAAACAGTCAGACAATACAGGCATGGGGCCCTATTGAATTAATGGACAGAGAAAGAAACTTATGAAGTACCTACCCTAATGAATTAAACAGTTAAAAGTGGTGGTGCAAAGTTTGTATTTTCAAACTTGTAAGATTGGTTTAGTGTAGCGTTATAATAAAGTAGAATTAGTTCATCATGTCATGTTTCTGTTTGGTTTACCTGGGGCCTTGACCCACATTGAGGATTTTAGTAGTTTATTGAAAATACTTTAAATGTAACTATCATATAATCATTGCTATTATTAACAACTGCTTATTATAACTTTTTTGTAATATTTGTCCTTTCTGATATCAGTTTTTGCTAAATTGGTGCAAATAGAGTTATCTCCATTTTAAACTTGCAATGACCTTGATTTAAAAACCTTTCATTGAAAATATTTAGAATTGGATTCATAAATTCATTTAATAAGTGTTTGATAGCTTTGCTTTCACAAATTGGCCTTTATTGCCATTTCTAGTTACTCTGTTGTGTAAAGTACATGACTAAGTGTAATCCCTAATTGAGGGCAGCACAACTGACCAAAATCATAGGATTTCCTTGTGGGATCTTATTACAGTTTTAAAATAAATCATGGACCTTTTTGTACCCTTAGAATTGTCTATATTGAATTACTGGACCAGATACTTTCTATGTAATATATATGAAAGAGAGAGAAAATGAGATTTTTTTATTTGTAGCTATGAAGTTCTGTTTGTAAATGGTTGGCTTTCTCACTTGCTCATAGATGGCAACCCTTAGCTATCCAGGCTTCAGTTACTGTAATATTCTTTCAAGGTCTTTAAAATGGAATGATGGTTTGACTCCTTTGCAGCTCTCCTTTTACAGCAGCCACTTAAATTTGTTTTGCATAGGCCAGATAGGCATATGGCATAGCTGATTTTTCTGTAAAACAAAGACAGGGCTATTTTTGTTCTTTGCAAATTCTTGCAATTATTCCCAGCAGCCTAAGCAATAAGGGATAAAATTGTCAAGAGTTGAATAAATAATGCAAACCATGGCAGCATCTCAGAATTATAAAGTTATGCTGAGTTGAGAAGGAGATATGCCAATGCAAACATTTGAGTGAGGTCAACAGACTAAATGAGGATTTAAAAAGCAAAAAACCATATACGAACAAGTACAATAATGCATACAGTTACAGTTCTATAAGTAAAGGAGCCTGGAGAATAGGACTAATGCAGGATATATTAAGTCATGTAGCATATATAGCATGAAGGTCAGTGCTTAGTTCCACTGTCACATTCAGAATCAACCAGTATTTTAGTACTAGAATGTTTTATTCAGGTTAGTATTAATCCTGGGTGGATTAGCTAAAATGAACTAGCAAGGCTAAAGAATTTTGGATCATAGCAGTACAGCCAATCAGCTTCAACTATATTGTATTCCATTTCTGTTTCTGCAGCTAAAGGCCAATCAATACGTCACATGGTTTTTCTCCATTAAACATATTAAAGATTGCAATCTAGGATGTGTACTAGAACACTGGGTGGACTGGAAAGAGAAAAAATATATATAATTCATTTACTCTACCAGGTTTCCTATAAAAAAATCATCCGTTTTTTTCATGCAAAAAAGAAATCAGCTGGGGAAAGATTATTTTTAGCAAGCAACAAAACAGAATAACAACAAAACCTTCTCATCCCAGGACAATTAAAAAGTTCCTGGCCCCAGGTGATCCTTTACAGCAACCTGGAATTTCTTGTTTTTATTTAATGTCTTGCCAAGAAAAGAAAAATACCCACAGTCCAGGATCACATGCATTTCATTACTATACTGTGCAGGCTATGTAACTTCTAATTTAGAAGAGAAATTGCAATGTATACCTAACTTTGTTTTCTACTTAGGTGGAGAGCATTACATGAGTTGTGGGATGTCCCATTCCAATGGAAACAATACCTATTGAGCTCCCCCTGTAGATATCTCATCAAATTTTTATTTGTACGTCTGCTTTGCTCAAGCAGTGAAGCCAGCAAAAGAAGGTGTGGTGAGTATGGAATAAGGGCAATGAACCTTCTTCTGAAGTCTGTTTGTAATGTGTATTATACTGTAGACAACTGCTGAAACAACAAAAACACCTTACTATTTGCTTGGGTGTAAGAACAGTTTCCCACCAGCAATGAAAGGCTTACAATGTATTATGCAAGACACAGAATTATACAATAAGCTAGCTGTTGGTGGCCGATCAATTATATACTCACCGTGGGTAAGCTATCTTATTCTTTTATAAAAATTTCAAATAATAGATTTACTTGAGATTTGGCTGTAGCTCCCATAGATTTTCAAAAATTATTACCAGTTCTAATACTGAGATTAAAAAGGACAATCATTTCTTATATGATAGAAAGCAATACTGTCAGTTAGCTTGGATTCAAAGGAATGTAAAAGAGAAAGAATCAAGTTTAGTTTTTTTCTGGCTCACATCATTTCTTTTTTGGGGGTGAGGTACAGTGTGAAGACAGTATCTAGTAAATAAATAAACAAACAAATAAACATACAAACAAACAAACAAACGGATAATAGCGGCCCCTCAGGCTTCACACATCTTGTAAAGCAGCAATAATAAAAATCAGTTTTACTATTCAGATTGATGTCAGACATTAGGATAATATTATTTTTTTCTTTCATTCAATTGTGTCTAATTGTTGAGAAATGTTGAGCTTTGGGGTGTTTTGAGCAGTCAGGATAAAGAGGGCTCTTGCAGAAGCTAAAAGCAAGTTAATCAAATTAGCATTGTTTGACAAAGTGTCTCCCCCAACCATTGACATGTGCACCATTCTCTCACCATCTGTTTGTGCCTTTTATTAAAAGGAATTCCAGAAGAAGAGGGGCCTCTTGAATTTCCAAATTCAGTATCAACATAGAAGCATTAACACTTCTTTATGGATTGGGTCTAAAAGTGTGCAATAAAATAAAATAAATATGCAGAAACATGAGGATTTGCATTTGAGGGTTTTTTCCTTCCCAAATTTGTGAAATATTCATACTTTTGTTTAGATAAGCATTATAACTGCTCTGATCTAAGGTCAATTTGTTCACTGATAAACATGAGCTATCACTTTGGCTATGTTGACACACACACATCTAGAGGCTCCATCTGGGCTAATCCCTCCTCAACCATAGAGGACAGCTGCTAGTATGAGAGAATTGGATTTTTAAACCAGAGCATTGTATTTTAAGAAGGCTATTATCTTTCCGGTTGTTTTGCATATGGGTCTGGTCAGATCGTCTTTGGTTCTTGTCTATGTCAGTAGACATAGCTGATGCATAACTTGGGGTCAGTGGTGGGATTCAGCCCCATTTTGGCTCCTAGGTAAGTGCAGGGAGGCCTCCTAGGACTAAAATGGGGCATGGGGGTGCAGCGGCCCCCCCGCAGCCCGTCTTTGCTCCCAGGAGGCTGCAGGGAAGCCTCCTAGGCCCAAAATGGGACATGGGGGGGTGCAGCGCAGACCTCACGGCCCATTTTCCCTCCCAGGAGGCATCAGGGAGGCCTCCTAGGCCCAAAAAGGGGCGCGGGGGAGTGGTACGCCACCCCATGGCCCATTTTCACTCCCAGGAGGCTGCAGGGAGGCCTCCTAGGCCCAAAATGGGGCCGGGGGAGTGGTACGCCACCCCATGGCCCATTCACTCCCAGGAGGCTGCAGGGAGGCCTCCTAGGCCCAAAATGGGGCACAGGGGTGGTGCATGCCCCCATGGCCCCTTTTTTGCTCTCAGGGGGGTGCAGGAGGCTGTGTGCTGCCTCTCACACCCCCTGGCCAACCCCACCATGGCCACGCCCACCCAGCCAGTCATTAGGACAGAGAACCGATTAAATTATTTGAATCCCACCACTGCTCGGGATCCTCCTGGACTTATGGCTCCTGCTCAAGGAGAGGGTAGCAGCCATGGTTAAGGGTTCCTTTGCATAGATCTATTTTGGGTGTGTCAACTATCCCATTCCCGGACCAGGAGGCCTTGCTCACAGTTACTCATAATTTGGTTACTTCCCAGTGATAAATAAATAAATAAATAAAATAACTTTATTGTCATTGTATGTGTATACACAGTATACCCATACAACGAAATTCATTTAACACCCAAAGACCAGGTCCAACACATATAACAATTCCCAAACACACTTCCACCCACCACAGTTCTCCACCCCTAAACCACCCAAACATCCACACAACAGACCAAGTAATACTGTCCAACAGCTCACTGATGGTGGTGGCCCTTTAGTTCATTGTTGAGTGCAATTATAGCTCTGGGATAAAAACTATTCAGAAAACGTGTGGTCCAAGTTTTAATTGTTCTGTATCTTCTGCCAGAAGGCAACAGTCCAAAATGATTGTAAGCAGGATGGGAAGAGTCTCTGAGAATGTTATGCAACTTTATACTACTGTATCATGCTGTACATGGCATTGTCCTTGAAGACCCACCAGAAAGTACAACTGGGAAAAATGTAGCAGTATACACTGTTCTGGGCACTCCACAGTTTGACCATATTACACTCCTGTTACACAAGCTGCATGAGATGCAATTCAAGATAATTATTTTCCCTTTTACAGCTCTAAATGGCACAGGACAAGATTATTTGTGGGACAATCTCTTCTTGAGGGTATCTATTCACCCCAGCAGATCAGATAGGATAGGCATTCTCCAGTCTCATCCTTTAAATATTATATAATGGGACGCTAGGAATTTTTACTATATTAGCTTGAGGTTTTTAAAAATATTTTTGAAAGCTGCTCAGTATTGTGCTTGATAATATATGTGGCTACATAAAATTGAATGAATGAATGAATGAAAGAAAGAAAGAAAGAAAGAAAGAAAGAAAGAAAGAAAGAAAGAAAGAAAGAAAGAAAGATAGAAAGAAAGAAAGAAAGAAAGAAAGAGAAATACTTTATTTTCTTTTTGAATTACATATTTTATACAGTGGTTATATTCTCCTTTAAATTTTGTAAAATATTTAACAATTATATTTAACATAAACATATCTAATATAGAAGATATGCTTACCTACATTATGATTATTATTACAGATAACAGAATACTTTTATAATAGCTAGAAATGTAATGAACCACAGACCTTAACAATCTCTTCTACCTAAATCAGTTTTACATTTTAATCTCAAGATATATTGAATTTAGCCTGAACCAGGCCATGTAGTTTATAGATTAGTGATCCCCAGCCTATGGTCTCTGGACCCTGAGGGTGTGTGTATTTGTGAAGGCTTGAAGAAATGTTATGATTTAAATCTTGAGTTAAATCTTGGCCACAAAAGGTATTTAAAGGGGCTTCCTGGTGAAGAAAAGGTTGAGAATCACTGTTATAGACTAAGATTCATTTCTGTGTCCAGTGCAGCATGATTTGGTTATGGTAATTTTACTCAATTATAAACAAGCTAATAAAAGCATAGTTTTACTTATGAAGAGGCAACACGTCTCTGTGTCAATGTCATATGTAAATGTTTTGCGTTTGTTATTTCATGTTTATTTTGCAAAGGAAAGACAGAGCCCTAAACAGAAGCTTGTTTTGAAAGTAAACAGTTCCCAGAGATAATTACATATTATATGTAAATATGTGAACTGCAATTTTAACTTGTGCTGTTATGAGGACAAGAGACATTTGAATTTCTCCTTACGCCTCTTCCTCTCTCTTGTGGCTATGTTCAGAAGGTAAAGGTTAGAACTATTAAATGAAATCATGCATTTGATTCAATGTCAAATACACATTTGAAATAACATTTGGATATATATCTATATATCTTTTTGTGTATAGTCAGAAAACCAAAATCTGCTGGGATATTTCCTTTTTTGCTTCCTAGAAAACAACATGACAAGAGTCATCAATTGTCCCAAAACAGCTGCAGGGAACTTGCTATGTTCTTCCCTGTCAGAAAGAATACTCTGTTCCAGCTAATTTTAACTGTAGAAATTGAAATAACCTCTACTAATTTTTTTATTAATCTGAACGTCTTTAGCAGACAATATATTTTCTAAAATTGGGATAAAATTATAATTAACATATTTAGCATTAGTTACGCTTTTAACATGTCTTTAAATAATTTTTGTATGATATATTTGTAGTTGTCAAGATGAGCTATGATAATATAATTGATATTCTGTACTGAGAGTCAATGTTTGAGTGTAAAATGTTAGGAACAAAATACAAGAAAGAACTGTTTACAAGCTTCTTGCAAGAATCCAGATAGTCAGTATTTGGAAAGAGAATACGAATTATTTTTTTATTAAATTATTTTATATTGCTTTTCACTATGAAAAATCCAAAGCTCCTTAAAATATTTTCAGTATAAATCAGGATAAAAACATACTGCAGTTAGTCCTGAATTTACAACCCCAATTGAGCCCAGCATTTTTGTTGCTAAGCGCAACATTTGTTAAGTGAATTTTGCCCCATTTTACAACCTTTCTTGCCACAGTTGTTAAGTGAATCACTGCAGTTATTGCATTAGTAACACAGTTGTTAAGTGAATCTGGTTTTCACATTGACTTTGCATGTCAGAAGATCGCAAAAATGGATGACCCCAGAACACTGCAACCATTCTAAATATAAATTCCAAGTGTCTGAATTTTGATCACTTGCCCATGGGGATGCTGCAACAGTTGTGCGAAAAACAATCATAAGTCACTTTTTTCTGTTGTAACTTTGAACGGTCACTAAATGAACTGTTGTAAGTCGAGGACTACCTGGATTTGTCAAATTGAAAATTTTAGGAGGAATCAATACCTGGGAAAGGCTAACATAAAAAAGCGGTATTTTACAAGATGCCTGAAATCCAGTTTTCCATAGGCACAGAATGAAGAAAGCCTGTCTCCATATCACCACCAAGTCACAATTCACAAGCCCTGGAGAGAAAACAGGACCTTCCCTGGAAATTATAAACCCTGGAACGCTGATGGAATTGGGCACATTCTTTAACTTAGTCCCAAATTAAGGATTGACATATACTAATATCATGAATCTAGATTGGCTGCCAGCGCAACTTCTATTCTTAATGTTGGTGTAATGATGTGCATGGTCTGACAAGCTACTACATTCTTTACTAGCTGCAGCTTTTAAAGCAGTCCCAAGGATAAAGCTACAGAGCACATTACAGTAATCCAGTAATTGAACAATTGAAATTGTTCATGTAAAAATTACTATAGCAATCTATCTTTACTCAGAAAGAGATTCAACTGGAATACTAGCCCCCCCACCCAGTGGTGGGTTGCCCCCGGTTTGGACCGGTTCACAAGAACTGGTAGTAAAACCATCGGGAGGCCCCGCCCACTGCCCCGGATGTCATCATCGGTGATTTGCGCATGCGCAGAAGCAAGGCACGTGAGCAAACAAAGCGCGTGTGCATGATCCCATTGCAAACCGGTAGTAAAGGTAAGTAGAACCCACCCCTGCCCCCACCCCTAAACTAGGAGTTGACACTAGCCATGGAGGCCCTCTAGGCTTCCAATGACAATATTACTTTATCACTTTCCAAAGGAGCCATCTACCATAGTTACTGTATTCTTTGGCATGAAAGAAAGCATTTTCCTGAGTTGTCGCATATGCTCACAACAGCATCACCCCATGTCCCTTCCTACAACAATACATTCATCACTCTCTGCATCCATAAAACTAGCCCTCTTTGAGCTAGGGTGAATTAGCTATGATGGGGAACATGGCAAGAGAATAGATGATGGGGCAAACTACATAAACGTATTGTTTACATCCTGAAACTTCTTGTCTCTAAAATTGGACAAAATGATGATGTAGATTCCTTATTCAAACATATTAATAATTTTATTATTTAGATTATTATAAAGATGAATTTTTTTACCCTTGATATACCTTGCATATTTATCAGAGCCAGCTTCTGTAGATATATGACCTAATACCTGTATAGCTTGAAAAAAATCTGCTGATAGTTATTCACTGTGATAGGTGTGTATGTGTGCA